AACAAAAGTCATTACGTCACAGAAATAGTTTCCTGGCTCGGGTTCGCGGACGTCTTTTTTCGGCGGAACCAAGTGACAGCCGGAAATACGTCTGCGTTCGCAGGCTAAGCAGCTACCTGACCAACAGATACCAAGTCGTACGTATAAACTCGACCCTTTCGAATTCGCTGCGATGACTAGTGGGGTTCCTAAAGGAAGCATTCTTGGGCCGCTTCTTGTTAGTATCTACATCAACGACTTACCCTCTGTCCCAAGAAATTGTTTAACACATTGTTACGTTGACGATACTAAACTTCAGATCTTTGTTAAGATGCGTGATTGTGTGACTGCCGTGGGTTCTAAATAGCGACCTCCTTTTAATACGCCACTGGTGTTTCAAAAATTTTCTACTTTTAAATTCAGACAAAACGAAACTCAGTTTTTGGAAGCCGAAAATTACTTGCCAAACTCCCCGACTTCAAAATATCTCTTTTAGGGAAAGATCTTGCTCTCGCATCCTCGGCCAAAGATCTTGGGGTTGTTCTAGACCCGCAACTAACGTTTGATGACCATGTTTTGAAAACCACGTCGTCTGGTGTGTCACGCCTCGCATAACTAATTAGTCGGGTTGAAAATGTCCTTGATCGTAAACAACTGGTGACAGTAATAAACGCCTTAGTCTTTAGTAAATTACTCTACTGTTCCACAGTATGGTCAAACACTTTGAACAAAAATACCTGTTGACTACAGTCCGTGCAGAACCTTGCCGCGCGTATTATTACAGGAACCAGGAAGTTTGATCATACAACCCCCGCATTAAGAGATCTACGTTGGCTTCCAGTTAAACAAAATCTGTTCTTCCGTGACGCTGTCATGGCATTTAAATGTATGTCTGGTCAAGCGCCACGTTACCTCAGTGATCAATTCGCGACAAGAATTGCGGTCACTGGGAGTATGACCCGAAGTTGTGAACTATTAAACATCCCTTTGTATAAGTCGAGTGCCGGACAGAGAGCATTTTACTACCGCACGGTGCACATCTGGAACAATCTAGACAATACTCTTAAAACCGCAAAATCGATTTCTACTTTTAAATTTTACCTGAAAAACAAATTTATTACTGACTTTTTAAATAGCATGTCATGATGGTATGCCACTACATTTTACTATTTGTTGTATGATGAATTGTATGTTGTATGATTATTGTTTAACATTTATCGCATTCTTTCCCTTTTAAATGAATTGTGAACCACTGAAAAGCCCCATCGGGGGAGTGTCAAAACCATTGTTCGTTTGTTTGTTTGAAATTTTCACTTGCCAAACGCCAGCCAATGGGCTGGGAGGTGTAGGGGAACAGTAGGATGAAAGACCGATTGGATAAGAAGGCAGGGTTAGTGTAATCCTTAGTAGTGGTCAACAGTCTTACCCATGGGAGCAGGAGAAGAGGGAGGGGAGGCAGTAAACTGGAGTTGCGAGGAGGAGGGTTAATGGAGAAAGGCTGTAATGAAGGGAGGGTTGGATTGTGAAATTCTTCTTTAAGCTGCGGAATGTAAATATTAAATCTAGCGAGTCTAGTGAAGAAGAGACGGAGTTTCTGTGTAAATTGCGAAACAAACTACGCTTGGAAAGGTAGAAAAGGCGAATGCAAATTAAAAAGGATATATCAGCTGTGTTAGAAGGATACATCGGAAGGATTGTAAATTATGCTCAACTTAGTTCTTACCGTATGAGAAATATGTCTTAAATAATTTTGTATCTTAGGTAGTTTTAAGGAAAATGCTGTAAGTTGTGATTTTTTTTAATATATTGCATTTTATCTGTGTCCCCAATTAGTACCGTTGGCAATAGAACGATCAGACACTTTTAACAAAGGATATGTCTGTCTGCATTTCTTTCTGTCTGTCTGTCTGTCTGTCTGTTTGTCTGTGTGTGTGTGTATGTATGCATTTAAGGTTACAGTATACCTTCAGGGGTGTCTCGCGTGCAAGCGATGTAGCGAGTGCAGTTTAAGCGGTAGATACCTAAACCCCTATAGCAAATTAAAACTTATAGAGCTGGCTATCAAACTATACCAAGAATTTTGAAATAAAATGAATTGTCGAATTTTTCACGACCNAAAGCTTATGGAGCTGGCTATCAAACTATACTAAGAATTTTGAAATAAAATGAATTGTCGAATTTTTCACGACCACTAAATGCGAGCGCCCGAATCACCTTTCGAAAGCTACAAGTCAAAACGAATTTTGTTTTTCGCCAATTTAATTTTTTCCTTGGTTTCAGGGCCCAATGCGCCAAAAAAGAGTATCTGCGTTTTGCCATATTCAATCGCAGTAAAAAGTTACAAAACATTTTCGAAATAGGATTAAAAAAATGTGGAGTGATTGTACAAAAATCGCACTTGAAGAAAAAATATTTCGAAATTAACAATTCGCAGACACAGTTTGGTAGTTTATATGTTAAACTAGCTACTGTCCAAATTTGAGGGCAGTTGAACAAATTCCCTTTGTGTTAGGACTCTTTAAAGTGTCTGCTAAAAGCGAAAAAATTATTCGAGAAAACAGCTAGCCTTTTGTACATTATGCTAGCATTTTGTCGAGCATTTTAGTGGCATTTCCCGGAAAATTAATATTTTTTTCCACAGAAAATAGAAATAAAAATTATTTGTTATGAGAAAGTGAAGACTTAACTTAACCTCTTCACTTAAGTAACAACAACAACAACAATAATAATAATAATAATAATAATAATAATAATATTTATACTGCGCAAATTTCATAAAATGTTCAAATGCGCATGACAAGATTAAAAACGGAATAAAAAGGCTAAAAAGCT